TTAATGGGATTCTCCATATTCCCGTGGTAAAGTTCCCATCGTCTGCCATACTTACTTTAGGCTTACTTCTTTCAACGCAATATCACTAATATATAAAAGAGATTGGATCAAAAGATTCCAAATGAATTCTATGCTCTGCTGCTACGTTCATTCAAACTTTTCTTTAACTTCTCATTCAAGGTTTTGATTATTATTAATTATTATTATACTATACTGTGTATGTATGTGTGTGTGTGTGTGATCAGTCAAACTTTTGTTCAACTTTATTCAATTTTTTATTATTATGCTATGATGTGTTCATCAAATTTGTCTTCAACTTCATTCAAACTTGTCTTCAATTTCATTCAAACTTATTGTTCAACTTCACTCAAACTTTTTATTATTATTAATTATTATTATACTATGTTGTGTGTGTGTGTGTGTTCATTTAAATGTGTTGTTCAATTTTATTCAAATTTTTTATTATTATTATTAATTATTATTATGCTATGATGTGTTCATCAAATTTGTTTTCAACTTCATTCAAACTTGTCTTCAATTTCATTCAAACTATTCTTTAATTACATTCTAATTGTTATTATTATTAATTATTATTATACTATGCTGTGTGTATGTGTGTGTGATCATTCAAACTTTTGTTCAACTTCGTTCAAATTTTTATTATTAATTATTATTATTATGCTATGCTGTGTTCATCGAATTTGTCTTCAACATCAATCAAACTTGTCTTCAATTTCATTCAAACTATTTTTTATCGTTTTATTATGTTTTTTTTTTTTTTCACGAAAAATTGTAGTTTAATGAAAAAACCCTTACCTCACCCATTCCTTTCTTCCTGTTTTTTTTTGTTAAAAAATCCCTTTTGTTAGAATATAATTCATCGTAAACGACATAGGAACCTCAAATGCGGCTAATGGGCCGAACTCACGTCGCGGTAAGCTTAACGATCAACTTCGATTTCTCTTGGCATCGCGAGGTTTTAACGCGAACGCATGGTGAAAACCTTATGGGTATCTCTATAGAAAGAAAGAGAGAGAGAGAGAGAGAGAGAGAGAGAGAGAAAGAAACAAATAAAAAAAAAATAAAGAACAGCAAAGTGCCGATTAACGTCAAATCCTGTCGTTTAAAATCAACGTACTGTATGTACGTTTAATGAAAACAAATGAACAAACTTGTCTATCCATTTTGTTTCCCATCTTTTTGTCAACTTTTTTTTTTTATTAGGGTTAACCATAAAGTTTGCGTGCGAATTATATATTTTTTTTTTCTTTCTTTTGTAAATTAACATCTTCAATATTAATTTTACAATAAAACGATCAATGTCTTCGTGCAAATTTTAAAGTAAAGTTGAGATATGATAAAACTCATATTAATTTTATTGTATATATATATATTATTATTATTGTAATTATATAATTATAATAATATAATATAAATAATAAATATATAATTACATTAATAATTATTATTATATATTATTTATTATATTATATTATTATGTTATTATATTATTATATTATATTTATTATAGCTATATATATATATTATTTATATTATATTTATTATTATATATTATTATATATTAAATAATATCTATATTAATATTACCTATATTATTAATATATTAATATAATATATTGTATTTAATTTAATTTATATTACAGCATATAAATAACACCTTAACAATAATTGCATATAATATTAATATATTAATAATATAAATAATAATAATTAATAATAATTCTGATTAACCCTAACATTATCATAATTACCTAATTTCTTTCTGAAAAAAAAAAAAAAAAATAAAATAAAATAAAAAAAGGATTGATTTCCTAGAAAAAAAAAAAAGAAGAAGACAATGCAAAGTAAGATGATGGGATCCCTTATCGATTAGGTTCGATCATTAATCATAGATTGGGTTCTCTCTCTCTCTTATGGGTTCTCTCGTATGGTTCTCTCGTCGTAGCTGCTGGTGGGACCTTGTTTCATGACCCACATAAAGCAAGGCCGTTAACACTACTCGCGAGGCTCTTACCGCGCGCAAGTTATACGAGTCGAGAGAGACTATGGTGTCCCACGTGTCCGGCCCCTACATTTCCCCACCACTTGCTCTTTCTTCAAACACACACAGAGATACAAAATAAAGAGAATCAAAATATCAAAATGAAAGATAAGCGAATAAATTCCAATCATCATCAAATATTTCAATCATCAATTTGTCTCCACGTTTGTCTCCCAACCCCTATTCCCAACCCCTACATTTCCCCCACCAGGGTGGGGAGGGGAGAGGAGGGGACGGGGGGGGGGAGTGAAACTGTAAACATATTCTAAAAATTAACAACAAATTTAAATGAAATATTTCAATCGTCCCAAACTGTATAATCAAATTATGTTAATTAACAAATGTCTTATTATCGATGATGATGATGATGATGATGAAGGTTTACCTTTCGTCAATTTATGATTGAATCCATGCGTGTGGGCGCACTTGTTTGCTCGTAGAAGAAGCCTTTAGTAGGTCATACCGATCTGTCTACCTGCAGGCACAAAATGAACGTTTGTGCGCTTTAAACATAACGCAAGAGACGATACAACCAAACAACCAACTCAAGCTCAGAATCGGACACCAAGTATGCATGTGTAAGAGAGAGAGAGAGAGAGAGAGAGAGATAGGTGTACCTTGATCTTGACACGATGCAAGGCCTTACTCGGATTGCAGTCTCTTTCGTTTATTCTTATTCTCTATACGTACACCTCTCGTCTTATTAACCTTTAACGGTCCTCAAAACAGACTCCTCTATCTCAACATTTATTATTTTATCTCATACGTTTTTTTTTTCGAAATAAATATTCTTTAGAATTAGAATGATTTGAAAATAGATGCAATGTAAAAGTTATAATTTAATAAAATTGATTTTACTATAATTATATTTTATGTTATGTAATTTATCTCAAATTTGTTTGAAATCTTTAATATATTTTTTATATATATTAATTTATATTATTTTATTATATTTTATAATATTAAATATATATATATATAATTAATATAATATTATTTTTCATTTTTTTTCTGTAATTATTTGATAATTGTAAAAAATTCGCGCCTGTAGATATGCAACCCTCCAGACACAGTTTGAAAATGTTGCTTGCGAGCGCCACCTGTTGGGACGGTATTTTTTTTCACTCCAAACTGTTCATACACCTATGTATCACGGGTTGCCTATCTTTCGGGCAAAGGAAATATTCCGTTCCAACAGGTGTTGCTCGCAAGTAACATTTTCAAGTTGTGTCTGACGGGTTGCATTCTTACAGGCGCACATTTTTTTTTTTAGTAATTATTAAACGAATAATTATGAAGAAATAATTACAAATAATGTTATATAAATAAATTATCTTAACTCCTGATATTATAAATTTTACTTTTTATCTCGTTACCAAATATCGATAATGTAGTTCACTGTAATATTCATTGTTAATAATACAATGTATGTTTTTTTGAATTATTTTACAGAAATTACGCGAAGAGACAATAAGTTTTCTCGAATTAAAATATGATCAATTCAATTGACGTATATATTATAGATCATTTCTAATTATATCACGTTTTTGTATTATTCATTTTTATTATATGGAAAGGTAAGAAAAAATGATTTAATTACAAAAGACTTTTTTTACTCATATCGATTGACCTAGATTTATATTTGAAATTTGCATATAATTAAAAATCTACCTATTACCATTTAATTAATCTACCTGCACGTGATTATTATTACACGTACATATACATATATATATTCCATTAATCGATTAATTCATTTCTTACAAGTTTTGTTTATCTCAAAACAGAAATACATACATACATTTGTTCTTATATCTTATATTTTATTTGAAATGGAATTTACAATATGGTGGATGTTTCATTGAATATTTTCTTTATTGTAATACTTGTACAATAGTCAAATAATATTGTTCTCATTCAAAATTTTCACTTTTTAACAAGCGAAACGATGATAAAACATTGTGTAAATTTGATATCAAATGTTGTTCTCCATTCTCCTCTCGTTCTTTATTAATTTAATCCTGATTTAATTATAATTACGTTAATAGAGGATTAGGAAAAAAAAAACAAAAAACAAAAAACAAAGAATTGGGAGATTTGTTTGTGCGTATATAAAAAGAATGATGCTTCCATTTTTTTGGGGGGGGGGGTTTGTTTAATGGTGTATGGCACGGTTCTCGCGTTAAAAAGAACTGTATTACCATAATTCGAAAGAAATCTAATTAAAGAAAGAAAAACAAACAAACATGGTGTTTTCATATTGGGATCTCTGGCAGGGGGGGGTGTGTGGTGTGGTGTGGCGTAGCAATTCGACCTATTTACTCTAATTTTGAATTTAGCCACCAGATAGTAGTGTATTCAAGTGCTAGAAATCCCAATAAATAAATCTATTTAGATATTAATTCACATTTATGATCTGACACACACACACACCAATAATATAATAATTATTAATAAAAACTTGTTGACGTCAAATAATGAAAAAAACAAAAAACAAAAATAGGAAAAAAAATAAGAATTAATTACAGATGCGAATGACAATTAATAAAATGTATAAATATAATTAATTATATATGCTATTATTTTAGTTATTAAATATTTTTTTTTTTTTTCAAGAGAGGAAGGACCACCCACTACACAATTAAAAAAAAAAAAACTCTTAGGAATTATACAGAGTTTGAAGAAAAAAGAAAAAAAACGTTTACATTCGATCTGTATAAATGATTCATTAATTATCCGTTTTGAAAATAAAAATATAACCAATAAGTACACTTAATGTATATATATATATATATAACTCTTTCTCTCTCTCTCTCTCTCTCTCTCCCTCCATTTTTCACATTAATAAAATTAAAAATGTCGACATTAAAAAAATCAAACGATAAATTTGTTTTTTTTTTATCTAAGCTCGGAAAGTGAGCTAAAAACAAATTTTAAAATTGAGCAATGAAAATTGCTTAATTTCTATAATTACGTATTACAACGCTTTAATATATCATTGAACTACATAAAAAGCGTATCGTGTAATTAAAATGAATTCATTATGTAATCAACAATTCATATATTTATATACTTAAACATTACGAAAATGCAATTCCTAGTTCCCCCCTCTCTCTCTCTATCTCTCTCTCTTTAAAAAATAATTTTGCAAACTAGAGGGTGTGTTCTCAACCAAAGAGGATTATTTCATGATCTTCCTTTAACCTAATATTTTAAACAATAACCCCATGTTGAGCCAACAATTGTTTTCTTTGCAACAAACTCGGCGATTCGATTTCAACGTTTTCATTTCTATTGGTAGAATCGAATGATTTGGACGTTTTCAGGTTAGTCATTGCTTTTGAACAACTGTTCGTAGCAATTTCCAATGATTTGGAACTTCTTAAGGAAGCATTGGCTAACTTTTTGATAGTTTCTGATATCGGACACTTAATGAAGTCTGATTTCTCACGTTCTCTCTCTTTAATAATCCTTTGATTATCATCTATCGTATGATTCGAAGGATCATCATCAGAGTTAATATCAATTTGCTTTCTGTCATCAAGTTTCATCTCGATCGTCGTATTTTCATCATTTCGTTCGTTTATATCGTTCGATTTGCTATCTACAATAACATCAAGTTCTTTATTGGTATTATTACTATTACTACTACTACTACTACTATTATTATTATTATTATTGTTTTGTCCTAGGAGTGATTTAGGGGGTGCTTCAACGTAACCACTTTCATCGCTGTCAGCTTCCTCATCCAAAGAATCCAACGTCAGAAATGAAGTATCCTCATTTGATGACAATTGACGATTTAACCTACAACTCGGATATTTTTCCAATACTCGCCTTTCCTTATCTTGGGTAGTTTCAATTCTACGATGAATCTCACCCCTAGGCCTGTAATCCACCACTTCGTCGAAATCCTCGACGTCCTCGAATTCAAAACGATTCGTAGGGGTGTTTACAGTTTCTTCTTCTTCTTCTTCTTCTTCCTCCTCTTCTTCTTCCATGGATTCATCTTCCTCATTTCTTAAGGAAAACCTTTTTCGATTGGGTGTTACGTTACAACGATGAAAACGTGGACTACCGGTACACGTCATGAAATTAGGTGAACCTTCAGAATTTCTTCTAGGTCCAACACCTCTCACGTTTTCATCCTCGTATTGGATCCTAGCATTTGCTTGATGATGTTCCATCTCACCTGGGTAACAATATTACATATTAATTTTATATTAAATAAAAAAGAAAACAATTGTATGTATCTTGTTAAATGTTTCAGAATTATTCTCACCAGCAATCTGATGATCCTCAGGCCCAATCGTTCTTTCTTCACTAGTTGCTGTACTAGCTGTTTCACAACCACTAGATATACTTCCATTTTCATCAGAAGATTCTCGATTGAGTGAATCCAACAGACGTGCCAATCTCCAATCATCCTGATCCTGCCAACTTCTAGCAACAGTTTCCAATGTTCTCAAGTCTTCAAGTAATCGTTGTTGTTCGATCTCTTCGGCAACAGCATCTTCCTCGATAGCTGAGAGCTTAGGTGCACTTTTAGACCTTTCTAATGGTGGTCGATAATTTTGACCACCTGTACTCAACAAAAGTTTTCTCCTAGGTAACGAAGGATTCTCGTAGAGAGCATTTGCCAAGGACAATCTGTAAAAATACAAATAAATATATACTTCTTTTATTATATTATACATTAATATTTAATATATAATAATCAATCAGAGTCTGATATACACGTCTTTAAGTCAACGAAGTACTTTATACCGCCATCTGTTAGAATCTTATCGAACTAACAGAGATAATCATGACTCTTTGTTAATAAATAAATAATATTGCGAATGATAAATTGAAATATAAACTATCCTATCTTTCAAGTTGGATGAAACTGCACACAATGTGCAAAATTTGATTAAAAACGGTTCAGTAGTTTAGGAGTCCATTGCGGACAAACAATGTGACACGTAATTTATATATATTAAGATAAGATATAGATAATTATAATTAATATAATAAATATAAATGTATTATACAATATTGTATTTTGTATATACTATTGTTTCAAACTAATACAACCTGTTTACTTATAATAATACAATTCAATTATATCCCCCCAATGAAAATACTCAAAGAACTAATGGAATGATAAAAACAAATAATACTTGTTTAAGTTGTTCTTAAGAAGAAAACGTCGTGGAATCTATGACCCGAATGCACATTAACGATTACTTCGACCCGAATCGTGACTGGATCCTCCTGCTTCTGGCTATCCACGACAGAAACGTGACCTGAATTCTACCTTTCCACTGAAGGTCAAGACATTGCGATACTTTAAACGAAAAACACGACTAGAATTTTCTTCATTATTCTTGATCTTTAAATGTTCAGATAAATAAGAACAATCTCATCTTTTTAGTTGTTACAATTATTAAAAAAAAAAATTCATTTTTATAAACCACCTACACCCTCTTACAGTACATACACTTACTTAAAAGTATTTTTATTAATATTAAATGCAAATATTTTTTAATTAACTCATGGTTTCATACTATTAAAAGATTTATGTAAAAATACAACGTAGGTAATTTATATAAATTATATATAAATATGATATGTAAAAGTTATTTTTTAAAATAGTAAATATAATACTTCAAAAAAAAAATGTTATTTTTCTCTTAACTATATATTATATTTACTATTATATATATATAGTTTATTTTATTATATTTTACAATATTATATATTTACTATTATATATAATTTATTTTATTATATTTTACCATATTATATTTATTACATTATATTTACTATTGTATAATAGTATTATATATATATATAATATAGTAGTATTATATAATATAGTAATAGTAATAGTATTAATAATATAGTAATAGTATTATATGGTATAGTATAGTAAGTATTATATATTATATATAATATTTACTATTATATAGAATTTATATTATTGTATTATTATATTTACTATTATATATAGTTTATTTTATTATATTTACTATATTAAAAAAAAAATATATATATATAACATAAAAAAAAATCATTTTTAAAAATAGCAAATATAATATTACAAATAAAAGCGTATTTTTTCTTAAACTTATTGAACTGTAAATAAAATAAAATAAAATAAAATGAAAAAAACAATGTTTACCTAGCATTTTGCCTGGACACCTTATCTCTGCGAAATTCCAATAGGGCTTGTTGTAACCTAGCATTCAAGGTCGAAGCTAATCTCCTAGCAGTAGATTCTTTGCTGCATAATGCAGCATGGCACCTTAATTCCGGCCTAAACCTACGACCCTCGTGTCTATAAACCCAAACGAAAAGTCTTGGATGGGATACTGGTGCTGTACAATAAGTCACCCTATGTGCCCAATATTCCGTTAAACCATGATCCTTGGTTGTTGCTGTCAAACCACCATTAGTTACGGTCAATCTCATGGAAACGTCTGGTCTACTGCTTGTCACGTAATTTCGCCATAAAGTTGACACTGGTTTTTCTACACATCCTTCACCTACAAAAATACAATACAAAATGTTTTATTTAATTCTTTGTACAATATTGTAATGCATCTGTTATGGTGTCACATAGAATTAATTTGAGTGTCGAATATGTTTGTTGAAACGTCATACGAGTTTCAGTAACGATAATCCTTTCAGGGTTTACTTTGATATATCGTATCCGTATAAATACTCTTGGTAATACATACACACACACATATATAAATATATATATAGATATATACAATTGAATACGCAATGAAAGCTCACAAACAGTACTTGCATTCCATGGTATATACGCGATTGGAATACTATCAAGCAACTTACTATAATATGTAGTACACTAAAACTTGTGGTTATGTGTGTGTATGCGTATGTGTATGTATATGTATATCTTCTGTTTGTATTGGAAATGAAGAAGAAGACTGGATAGTAGAGTGAAAAGGTTTATCCTGACCTTCGATATAGTTCGATTCGCCGTTCGACTCTTACCAATTTAGAAATACAGGAAATGCTAGTACAGTTACTTAGACTGCGAGAAATGAGGGTACCAGTTAAAAACATATCTCACAGTAAAAGAGACAAATAAATCAAGAAAATATTTGTCTAATTTAATTGCCTTTTTTATTTGTTGAATTTGTCGTAAAAGATTTGTTTATACGACAAATGTTAAATAAATTAAATTGATCATCAGTGCACTTTGCACTTTTTGCACTCGAGGTGGGGCCTCGTCGCTACAGAGACAATGAAAATATCAATTAAAAATAAGAACAGATTTAATTTAATCTACAACACTTGAATTTAATTAATTGCAATTTGGTTTGTCAATTATTCTAAGATTTTTCTATACGACAAATGTTAAATAATAATAAATGAATTAAATTAAATTGATCCTCAGTGCACTTTGCACTTTGCACATTGCACTCGAGGAGGTGCTTCGTTACAGAAACAATGATAATATAAAAATAAAAAATTAAAACAGATTTAATTTAATCTACAACACTTGGATGATTTAACTTAACATGGATTTAAATGAATAATTGATTACTAAATTCTAATTTGTGTGTGTGTATTTAATTAGTGTGTGTGTGTGTGGATTAAAAATGAAAATATTATTTTCCATTTAATATCACGCGAATCGTAATGTTTTGTCTTTTAAAAATAGAAAAAGATCTTTATCGTAAGATAGTTCGATCGATCGTTCGATTAGTTTAGTAAGATCTATAGATCGTCACGATCGTTATACGTGCTTTTGTTCATTTTCAAGATTAACCATTAGCGAATGATTGCTATGATGACGTCAGAGTTATTGCTATGACTCGTTCAACTTTATCGTCACACGTTCGTTGCAAAAGAGAATCTTGAAAAGAAAAAAAAAAAAAAAAAAAATTTATGCTATTTCATCTTTACACAACGCTTTTTTTTTTTTATATAAAAGGAAGAGAAATAAAATGACATAGAAAATGAAAAAAAAAAAAATATTAAACATTGATTTTCACTTTTCACACAGACTATTCGTTTTGTTGATGATGAATAAAAAGTTCAATGAACAGATTGATTATGACAGATAATTTTGTTTTATATAAATGTATACACGTGTGTTGGTGGTGGTGATGGTGGTGGTGCTGCTGATGGGTTATCTTTATCTTTACATCCAATTTTTTTTCTCTCTTATCTATTATGATAATAATATTACAATCATGTGTGTTATGATTTTAAAAGTCATTTCTACGTTTATATATATATATTATTGTTATTTATATACTAATTTATTTGCGAAAATATTATTTAATTAAAATGTATAATATAAATATAATGTAATGGGAAAATTATAATAATAGAAAATTTGAAATTTGATAATTAATACAAATTTTGTAATAAAAAAAAAAAAACAAATTGCTATGTTTTTAAATTAAAACAAAAAAAAAATATATATATATATAGTTTATTTTATTATATTTATTATATATTTTATTTATACTATTATATGTAATTTATTTTATTATATTTACTGTATTATATTTACTATATTTTTGTATATTTTATATTTTATATATTTTATCTATATTATTACATATAATTTATTTTAAATATATTTACTATATTATATTTACCATCATATATAATTAATTGTATATAATTAATTATATATATATAAATATATTTAGTTTCACTAACCAATTAACTAAAATCTCACCCTACATGAAAATATATTTGTAATTTATTAAAAATAATTCAAAAAAAAAAAAGAAATACATCAGCAAAATTAAATATTAAATTTGTCTAACACCTGTTAGTTATTCTACGCACCCATGTGTAAAATACAATTTCTATAAAATGGTTGACTGTCAGAAAAAAAAAAAAAAAAGAATAATATAAAATGGTATGAAATATCTATTTAGAAAAGAGAGAAAGCTTTAGATGAAATGTATCGGTGTCACATAATGATCGGTAGAACGATTCGTTGTTGCATGTTTGATTATTATTAACGTGCTAACGGAAAAGCGGAAGTAGTAATGAAACGATGCGGAAGAGGAAGTGAATAAATACTAAACGAAGAGGACCCAACAACAAGGTTCGTTCACTAGCCCGTAACTTTCTGTTAGGTATTATCCAATTAAATACTATACCGAACGATCCTCTCTCATCTCATCTCATTTCATCTCAACACATCTCATCTCATCTCATTTCATTTCATTTCATCTCATTTTATTTCATTCGATTTTTTCTTCTTCCTTTATCTTCAACAACATCTTTGATCAAGAAATACTCGCCAATCTTTGATACAATCAACATAATTCAAAA